CTGTAACCACAACACCTGTTTCCAGAGTTGCTGCTGGTTCTGCAGACGGAGTAGTTATCGACGTCTCCTGTGTTTGCTCTTCAGCAGATTTCGCATGCAAAGCGAAAATACTTAGTTATACTAGTGTTACCAAATACTACTTTTTGTTTTCTAATCTCAAATCAAAGTGTTACCTTCTCCTTGCCTAAGGCTTCTCCAACTTGAGATTTCACCACCACTTTTTCAGGTTCATTATACTGGTTATCCATGTCTTCAAATGACCTCCTCCCCTCTAATTGTTCCTTCACATATTCTTCCACTGCTACAAGTCTTGTGCTAAATTCTCCAATCTTCTCCTTGATCTCTTTGAACCCCTTGTCCATCGCAAGCTCCACCCTAACTACCATACTAATAGTGGCTGCATTCTCCCCATGGATGAACATGGCCGGATTCTCCTCATACTCGAATACAGCTTTCTTCTTCTTGCACTTTTCCTTGGTTGCATTTTCCTCCTTCTCTACCTCCAGCGGTTCCACATGCTCCTCACCTTCCTCTTCTTCTCGGAAAGCCATGTCATCATTGTACATTTTCTGAAAACAAACCGCTTTGTCTTTAGAGATAAGCTTCATCCAACCATCAACGACGACATCATATACATCCTCCTCATCTCCATCTTCCAATATTTCATCTACAAGAGATTGCTCTTCAGCAGATGGGACTAACACACTATGAATATCCTGTAAGTACAATAAAATTTAGATTTCTAGTGTAGATGAAACATAAATCATCAATTTGCAAACGATAACTAAGTTTAAATTTCTAACCTTAGTTTTACCAAGTGCTTCATATATTTCCGAAAGAGGAAATCCTTTCATAACATATGACTTGAACTTGCTCTTACACATGCGAGGGCAGCTCTTCTCTGCGCCTCTATGGTCTTCTCGAAAAGTCTTCTTCAACACTGGAATTGCCTCAAAGGCTAGCATCTGCACATAATACATATAATTCGATACTTAGACAATATCTCTCAATTAATAATTAGGAATAAGCGAATAAAGGTGCAGTGAATAATCTTTACCTCCAAAGAAGTACAAAAACTTGGAAACTTGCATGTTCTATCGACGACCCCTTTATAATCAACCATTGCTTTCTGGATATCTTTCAAATTCTCATCAAACGAGAATCTCCCCCAAGGAAAAGTCTTACAGAGCTCAAGATCATCCACAACTCTTATGAAGAACTTCTCAACCGAGGGTGCTCCCGCTCCAGTTTTTTCCTTCCCTACTATGACGCTACATAGGAAGTGCAACACACACATCTTCAACCTATCTGGATGTGGTTTCTTCATCTTCAACAGCTTTTCATGCACTTTTGCATAAGTGATTGTTGTTCCTCTGCCAAACTGTCTTTCAGCGAATTTCATACCCCCCAGTTGGCTATAGTTTTCTGGATAGAGATGACAATCTAATCCAGAAATCAGAGCGTGTTCTTTGAGAGAATACCTAATTGGGACGCCATTCACAATGAACCAAGCCTCCCTTCTCTTCTCAACTTCAGACGTTCGAAGCAGGAGCATCCACATGCCCATAACCTTGTGGTTTGAGTCGTCATACATATGGAAGAAATGCTTGAATTGTGGGTAGTTGTGAAACCAATTCCTCTCTTCAATGGTAAGATTCAAAGAATTTATCGTATTAACCACCTTGTGAATGTAACACCTGGTCGATATCTTCACCTGTTTCTTGTACTCAGTCGGATTAAAGTACATCCACATAGGTTGCATTGGTTCCGTTTCAATCGAATCCTGCAACTGATTCAAGTTTTACCAAGTGTTACTTTAATTTTTAGAAATACTATGAGCAACTGATTCAAGTTTTACCAAGTGTTACTTTTGTTTTTAGAAATTCTATGACTTTCAAAAAGTTTTACAACGTACTATATACTTGTTTAAACAATATTTCATCTAACTACATACCGTAGAGTTGTCCTCATCATCAGAGTTTGTCATGGTTCTGACCAATCCGGTTCTGAGGCTGCTTCCTTCGCCAAGATTCTGATGCTGCTTGCTTCTTGTTCTTGACGGATCCACACTTACTCCTACAATCGCACAAGAAGTTCGTAACTATTAAGGCATCAATAGACAGAAGCCGATGGGTAAATAAAATCAGAGTCCATGATAATGAAAATTATTGAATTGCAAAAAAAAATCCAGTTTATATATTTCCTTAATTCATGTCTCTTCTCGATCAACATATTAGAGGGGAAACAATAGGAAAATTCTGGAATTCAACATACCTTTAGACGCCATTGTTATCTCGCTTGGAATTCAGCGAAAGAGGAGAGTGAGAGTTGAAGAATTGAGAGAGTAAAGTGATTAAGGAGGGAAGAGAAGAGGAGGAGAAGGAATTCGGAGGAGAAAGAGGAGGAAGATGATATGAAATTGGCGAATATTAAGACGAATGGTCCGTCAACTGACTTGAATTTAGCGAGGATCGTGTCTGTTCAGTTTCGCACCCGATGGTTTGAACTGGAAACTGAAAAGAGTGTAAGATTTTGAAGGTTTTAATCGATCCATGTTGTCGGAGTTGGATTGATTTCGGGTTTGGATTTCTTATGGGTGGCCTAGATCCAATTGAACAATGGTTGAGTCTGTAATTAATTGAAATTGAAAAGGAGAGTAAAGTAAATCAAAAAAATTTGACATTAAAATAATTAGATAAATATATGAGTTTTATAACGAGAGCAATCGGGATCTTCTTTTGAACGAGAAGGGTAAGCCAGCCATTGTTTCAGGGTGAAGAGCTAATATACCCTTATTTGTTTCAAAATAGTCTCACTACCCCCTCTATGATCTTACTACCATTTTCTTATTTTTCTCTCTATTTTACCCTCATCTTTTTTCCTCTTTAATTTAATAATATCTTCTTTCAACACAAATAAAATAAATAAAAAGAAAATAACAATCCAATTTAATTTTCAATTAATTTTAAACCACCCACGGGCCCTACATCTTCATTTTCTTCATGGTTTCTCTTGCTCTTCATAACGTCATAGTTCTGATTTTTTTTGGATTATTGGGTTATTGAAATTCTTTGTGAAAAGTCTTACATCAGTAAATATCACCAGTTATAATCGTTAAATGTGCATCGAATTATCCTGAATCGTAGTAAATCATTATAGATTCATAGATAAATATAAATTGTCTGGATACATAATCTGGGTATTACTGGACCAACTAGTATTACTAAGACAGCGGGTATTACTGAGAGAAACTGGGGTACTGGATATTATTGGTTGAAGCTATGGACAATAGCGTATTGCAAAACGATTTATCCAGTACCACACAAGTCTAATTGGATTGTTTCTGTCCATATATAAATCTGGTTGTTATACAACCGGATTATTTTGAAAAAGAAGGAAAATCTCAAAAAAACCGGTTCCCATCAGTTGGAGAACACCGAGGAAGAGGGAGAGGAATAGAAAGGGGAAGAGGAAGAAGAGGGATTTTGTCATATTTGTATAGTGGTAATAGTGATGCTGGTTAAACTATGTAACTCGTTTGTGTTTATTTTGTGTCTTTGGAATACTAGGCACAACTGGTGCAACTGATAGTATTCAAGAGACAATTTTTTATTTAATTTAAAAAAATAATTAGAAAAACAAACATTCAATATGAAACGAACAAATTTTTATTAGATAAATAACTATTAAGTGGTTGAAAAACATGTATTAACTGGTTAACCTAAATTGATGGCATCATTATTTGTTATAAGGACATTTACACAACAAACACCATACACTTCTATGAACACTTTTTTAATATTAACCATCATATGAAGCCAAAGACACATACAATGAGTTTCAAAACATTTTAGTGCATACAAACCTCAGAATCAACAACATAATGACTAAAACCATCTGTAAAACTACAAATAAAAAATTTATTGTAGAGTACAACTAAATAAAGTTGAAAACACCGAAAAGTACAACTATTTGCAATTGGTACAACTAAAGAACTACAGATAACTAAGTGTAATTTTGACGGCGCCCACAAAAGCAAAAAACAGCGCACATGTTAATTTGGCGGCACACATATTTTTTAGTTTTTTTGTCAATATATATATTTTCTTATTTATTTTAAACATAATTTTTACAAAACAATATAATTCTTTTTTATTAATTTTTATCAGGGTAGAACAACATATAATTAGTTTTATGTATAATCTAGTTAATTTTAATTATATTTTAATTATATCAATACTACAGATTCAAATAAAAAATACTACAGTTTAATCTAAGAATAACACTATTACAAAAAACCCACCATAAATCTAAAAACAAAATAGTTCACTCCATAATATTTTGTTAGTTTTCTGGGATTCCCCTTGCTTCGTCGTCTCCCTGAGTAAACATAAGCAAATATATTTGATGATTAATTTGGAGATACAAAAACAGATGATAAGTTGTTCGGTGTAAAAAATCAAAGAAAATTTACCAATATTTTTAATATCTCAGTCAAATCTATACAAGACAAATTTTAAAAAATTTAAAGATTTTTGTTTTGGTTTTAACCAAAAAAATATCACGAATAAGGCAAATAATGAAGAATATGATAAAAAGGAAAAATATATAATAAGAGAATTTACAGATTTTAGTTTAACCTATCTCTAATTTTGTGAGGATATGAGTTAATTTTAGTTTGGGTGGATGAAACAATTTTGAATTCTTCTAAATAACAAAAGAAATTATTGAAAAAAAATAGTTGAACTCTGATTCAATTGGAAAAATATGTGAGAATAGCTGTCAAAAATTAAGTATAATTTTCTGATGATAAAAAAAAAATAATTAAAAAGTGGAGTGTGTTTTGTTAGTTTTGCCACGTAAGCCAAAAACAAATATAACCCAAATTTATCTGGGTTTGGGTGGGTGATCCGAATTTATCATGGTTGGATATATAATATCATAAATTCATTAAGGGTATAAAAGAATTTATCTATGTTTTGGTATTAAAAATAAATCAAAAAGAAATGATCAGTTATAAAGAGGGCATTTCAGCTTATTTTGTAAACTAGAGGGGTATTGAGCCAGTTATCCATTGTTTCAGGGCAAGCCAGCCATTGATGAGAGAGAAAGAGAGAGAGAGAAAGAAAGAGAGAGAAAAGAAGGTATTATGCAATCGGAGATGGCGAAAGACACGGTTGCTTCGGAGAAATCACCGATTAAGCTACTTCAGGAGACGAAAGCCTCCGTCGAGGGAGTCGTCGCAAGGATGCTCTCTATCAAAAAAGAAGGAAACCCCAAATCCGAGAATCGCGAACTCCTCACTCAGATGTTTCTCAACTTCATCAATCTGCGTCAGGTTCTAACATTCAATCCCTAGGGTTTGTTTTTCCCCTCTCGAATCTCGACAAAAACTTAGCGAAGATTCGGTGATTTCTTTTTCGCAGGCGAATCGTGCGATTCTGACGGAAGAAGAAAAAGTGAAATCTGAGACGGAGCTAGCAAAATCTCCGGTAGATTTCACGGCCTTGCAGCTTCACAATCTGATGTACGAGAAGAGCCATTACGTCAAAGCTAACAAATCTTCAAGAGAATTCAAATCCAGGTATCCCAACATCGATCTCATATCCGAACAAGACTTCCTCAGAGACGCTCCCGAAGCAATCAAATCCCAAACGCTCTCAAATGATAGTTCCCATGATTTGATGCTTAAAAGACTCAATTTTGAGCTCCATCAGGTAACAATCTCTCTATCTTTTGCCTAAATCTCTCCTCTCACTTCAAAGTTAGGTTAAATGTTTAAACTTTTGAATTCAGCGGAAAGAACTATGCAAGATTCGAGCTAATTTGGAACAACAGAAGAAGAGTTTGCTGGAAACTAACGCAGAGCGTAACAAGTTTCTTTCAAGTCTTCCTTTGCACCTGAAATCACTAAAGAAAGCATCTTTGCCAGTACAGAACCGGTTGAGTTTGCCGAATCCGAAGATGCTAAAGCATCATAATCTAGCTGAGCTTCTTCCTCAGCCGCTTTACGTCATCTACTCGCGGTTCATGGCGCAAAAGGAAGCTTTCGAAGAGAGTATCGATCTCGAGGTATCCGGAAGTCTTAGGGATGCTCAAACTTATGCTCGGCAGCAAGCAGGTTAGCAATTCTGAAACCTTTTAGTTACGAATAAGAAAGTGAAATCGAGTGTTTATATTGATAAATAATAATGCCATGAATTATTCAATAATAATACAGAGAGTGATGATGATGGGAAAAGGCAAAGGAAGCGACTCAAGAAAGAGATTTCTGATGATGCTGGACTATATCGAGTCCATCCTCTTGAAATCGTCCTTCACGTGTATGATGATGAGACTCAAGATCCGAAATCCCATAAACTCGTGGTGCTCAAGTTCGAGTACTTGTTAAAGTTGAATGTTGTATCTGTTGGCACTGAAGAGTCTCATAATGTCCTATGCAACTTATTTTCAGACGATGCTGGACTTGAGCCTCCTCATCAGGTACAAATACTTGCTCAAGACCATTTTATAACGGCTCTGTTCTTAGAAGCAGTCGTTACTCACTTGTTCGGATTGTTTACTTTCTGTTGTTATTCAGTCAGCTAAGCTCATTCTCGGAGATGATCATGCGTTTGGCGAGAGCAGAACCTCGAGGCCATATAAGTGGGCGCAACATTTGGCCGGGATCGAGATTTTACCTGAGATGTCACCGTTTTTAACTGACAAGGATACTCAGAACAGTGAGACAGCTTCTGCGTCTGATCAGCGCAATGTGCAAACTGTTCTACAAAAATTACGGTCTCTGAAAAAGGCTATAAGCTGACTCTTGTGTGAGTCGAACCACCACTCTGTAGTTTGTTTTGCATCTTTTGATTAGTAGGAGAACTATGGAAAGTGATAGTTTGTGATATTTGTAAGTCAGGTTTTAAAGTTATTGGTATCTGATATTTGAAGGCGTTCATGATAAGCAAGACTTCTAATGTCATGGTATGTGGCATAAAGCCTTCAAACGTTACAATAGATTCTAATGTCATGGTTACAGCTTCTATTGCAGATATATTGTTCATAATCAACAGGGCATTTGGTCTAGTGGTATGATTCTCGCTTTGGGTGCGAGAGGTCCCGATTCTCGGAATGCCCCTTTGATTCTAATGTCATGTTTTGTATGTCAACTAGATTTTTGTTAGTGACGTTCCTATGATTTTAACATTAGTAACGGCAACATAACTTTGCTTGCACGGCATATGCTGTCAGATTTTCTAAGAACGAGCTGCAGGAAATTAATATAGGATAATGCCCAAGTTAACAGATTTCAGAAACAAAGATTCAACAGATAACATTTTACATTTATATCTCAGACGAATAAATTTGAAGATTGATTATTTGTCAAAAGTCAAACTACGGAAACAATATCCAAATTTCTTCCTCGTCTTAGATTTACTATCACTAAAAAATCTAGATCTGACATTGACTTCACAAGTTTTTCTTTAGGTTCTTTAATCAAATATCAATCAAAATTGCATTTTGTCTAGTGGTATGATTCTCGCTTAGGGTGCGAGAGGTCCTAAGTTCAATTCTCAGAATGCCTCTTTCTTTTTTAAATTTCAATGTGGAGGGCATACGAGGACATCTTAATAAGAAAGACCATAATAATATATCCTTATGGTCAATAGTTTTTTTTTTTGAACTTTTATGGTCGATAGTTTAGACGTTTTAATAAGGATAAATCAAAATTTCAGACATAAGACACGAACTATGACTTTGAAGAATAACTACAAGGTCACATTAACTAATATAACAAGATTAAAAGTGTGTCCCTCTCATCAGATCAACTACCTTAGGTTTCTAGAACCAAAAGCAACATCTTCCCAACCAAATCAATCCTAAAATGATTCTAGTTTTTTCAATTGGCTTTTTTTGTGTGTGGAAAAATATGCTCTCCATTAAGTTATATATGTCCATCAGTTTGAATCAATGCTATGTGTCAAGAATTGATTAGCATGCAGTTTTCTTGAAGGACTAGATTAGACACGATGCCCTATCTGAACCAAATCATATCAAATAGTGAGTAACAAAAATGAGTATTAGATAGATACTTGAAGGTCTCACATATTTTTTTCAGCTTGAATAGGTTTGAACCATGACATTTGGTCTAGTGGTATGGTTCATGCTTTGGGTGCGAGAGGTCCCAAATATATTCTCAGAATGACCCTGTGAGTTTTTATTAGATGCAACGTGAAGCCATGTTGAGTTTTGGTGATGAAAAATCAATCTAAGTCGGGCTTAAACCAAGACTGGTTAAGTCAAATTAAGTTGCTTGTTATTAAAATTCTTAGTTGGTTTACGGTTTAGTGATAACCGGCTATTCCTTGTAATTGATTTCAGTATTTAGCTGAGATGCGAATGCTTCTTCGTCTCTTTATTAGAGATTGTAACGGAGAGAAATAAGATTGTAATCGGAAACACAAAGATAGTGGCTTACTGGAAATCTCCAGGCCGAGACGTAGGATTTCTCATTCCGAAAATCTAAACTTGGAAAATTTTCTGTGTTCTTTCTTTCGTGCTGGTTTCGTGTTTTCTTCCAAAGTTCTAAATTCATTCTTGAGTGATTGTGAGCTGAGGGAAATCCAAATAGAATCGAGGTCTGTTTCACTACAATTCATATCAGAGCTTCATTGAGGCGATGAGCGAAGCAATGGCGAAGGTTACAGTCGCCGAGTTCGATTTTAACAAAGATTTCTCAATGTAGAAGAAGAGAATGCTCGCGCATCTATCACTCATGGGGCTCAAATATGTCTTGATCGAGACGATCCCAGAAGCGAAGGCGATAAAGAAAGGCGAAGATTCAGAAGCTTTCAAAGAAAGATTACAGCTCGAAGTAATTAATAGGCTTGAGCGAGCTGAAAGAGCGATTAACATGCTGGTTCTTAATCTCTCAGATCAGGTTATAAGAAAGCTGGAAGAGTATACAACAGCGAGTGAAATCTGGGCAGCTCTTGAAAGATTGTACAATGTGCAAACACTTCCAAATCGAATTCACCTTCATCACAAGTTCTACACTTTCAAGATGACTGATTCGAAGTCAATTGATCAAAACATTGATGACTTCTTGAAGCTTGTATCTGGTTTATGCAGTGTGAAGGTCGTTGTAACAGAGGAAGTACAAGTCATACTGCTGTTGAACTCGTTGCCATCGGCGTACAGTTCTCTAAAGGAGACCTTAAAGTATGGCAGAGAGACTCTCACCATTGAGTCTGTCATGAATGCAGCAAAATCCAAGGAGATAAAGCTAAGAGAAGCTAAAGATCTTAGTAACTCTCAGAAAGGTGGAGAAGCTCTTGCTCGTGGAAGACCCGAAAGGAGGGAATTTGGGAATATAAGAGGAAATAGCAGATCAAAATTAAGCTCTGGCTCTAAGGTGACTTGCTGGTATTGCAAAAAGGAAGACCACAAGAAAGCTGACTATTTTGCTCGGAAAAGGAAGATGGAGTCTGAACAAGGTGCTGAAGCAGTTGTTGTGATAGATGCGTTAAATGATAGCGATGCTCTGACGGTTTCAGGGGACTGGCACCAAGACAAATAGATCATAGTCTCGGGATGTTAGTACCACATGACGTCAAGACGTGATTGGTTTGATGAGCTTGAGGAGCTAACATAAGGAAAGGTTCTTCTTGGTGATGACTTCTCGGTGGAGGTCAAATGCATTGGCTCCATAAACATCAAAGTCTATGGAGGTACAGTCAAGATCCTATCCAATATCAGGTATGTTCCTACACTCAAAAGGAATCTTCTCTCAACTGGAACACTGGATAGGTTAGTTTTAGATCATGCTGGTGGAAATAGAAAGACTAGGTTCTATAAGAATAAGAAACTAGCTCTTCGGGGTACCCTTGTTGGCACTTTTGTATTTTTTGGTTGGTGAAACTGTAACAGGTGAATCAAACAGCAGTGTTTCAAAGAATTTGTCAAAGGATGAGACGGTTCTCTGGCACAGACGTCTTGGACATATGAGTTTGAAGAATCTACAGATCTTCGCTGAGAAAGGGATTATAGACAAGAGAAGGATTGGAGATATGAGTTTTTGTGAAAGCTGTGTGATGGGAAAATACTAGAAGACAAGTTTTTCAATCGGCAAGCATGATTATGGGGAAGCTCTCAAGTACATCCACTCAGATTTATGGGGGTCTCCGAATGTAACACTAAGTATATCAGGAAAGACGTATTTTCTGTTAATCATAGACGACTATACAAGGAAAGTATGGGTGTTCTTCTTGTCTGCAAAGAATGAAGCGTTTGAAAGGTTTGTTGAATGGAAGAAGCTAGTCGAGAATCAAGTTAGCAAGAAGGTTGAATGTCTCAGGACTGATAACGGCCTGGAGTTCTGCAACTCTGAGTTTGATAATTTCTGCAAACAGCATGGAATTGAGAGGCACATGACATGTGCATATACGCCTCAGCAGAATGGTGTGGCCGAGCGTATGAACAGAACTATAATGGAGAAGGTCCGCTGTATATTATATAAGAGTGGCATTGAAGAAGTTTTTTGGGCTGAAGCAGTGTCTACTGCAATGTACCAGATCAACAGAAGCCCCTCATCAGCCATTGACAACAACATTCCAGAAGAGTTATGGCTTGAGAAGAAGCCTAAGTACAAACATCTAAGGAGGTTTGGTTCTGTGGTGTAAGTACACAAGGATCAAGGAAAGCTGAAGCCAAGGGGTTTGAAGGGTATCTTCTTAAGCTATCCGTCAGGAGTTAAAGAGTACAAGGTCTGGCTTCTAGAAGAGGAAAGATGTGTGATTACTCGGAATGTCAAGTTTGTTCAAGATCAAGTCTACAAAGACTTAAAGGGTGGTCAGGATGAGAAGATCTCAGAGGATGAGAAGACTAATGGTGTTAGCAATGACTTTCTGTTCTGCAAGCTTTTCCCCTACTCTCTTGAAGAAGAAGCTGCATATTGGCTGAAGCAACTGGAACCTGCTTCATTGTCCACTTGGGAAGATACTAAGAATGCCTTTCTGAACAACTTCTATAATGATGTAAGATCAGAAGACATGAGGACGAAAATTGCATCCTTTACACAAGGGCCTACTAAAGCTTTTAAGGCTTCTTGGATCAGGTTCAAGTCTTATCAAAGGGACTGTCCTCATCATGGCTTCAGTCAGGTGCAATTACTTGGGATCTTCTTCAGAGGCATTGACTGGAAGTATCAGATGGCGCTGGATGCAACAAGTGCAGGAAACTTTAACACCAACAGACCAGAGGAGGCGATCAGACTGATTGAGAATTTGGTCTGCAGCAGGAGCACTAAAAATACAGACTTTCAGAGGATGAAACAAGCTGGTGTGGATGATGGAAATCAGATTGCTGAAGTTAAGGCTAAGCTGGACAGTATGCACAGCCTTTTGGTGGGAAAGAGGTCACTTCACTTTGCTGCAGAAGTGGAAACTTTCGAAGTTCCAGAGGAGGTTGAACAGGAGGATGTAAATTTCATCAATTCTGGCGGTTTTCAGGGTCAAAGGTATGGGAATCAGCAGTGGAACAGAGGCTACAACAACAACAATCAGAAGATTACCTTTACAGGAGGTCAGAGCACGCCTGGTTACACACCTAAGCCCCCATTCCAGAAGACAGAGTACCAGAAGCCATTCCAGAACAGTGGAAATTACAGCAGGAACTATGGTTCTTCTTCCTACCAACCTGCACCTCCACAAGGGAACAAGATGGAAGCAATTCTGGAACAGATCTTGGAAGGACGACATAAGCTTACAGTAGACTTCAATGGCAAGATAGATTCGCTCTATCAGGATTTGAATGGGAAAGCTGAGAGTCTGAACTCTCATATGAAGAAACTTGATGTTCAAGTTGCCCAAACTGCAGGAGCTGTTCAGAGGCAAGAAGGATTTCTTCCAGGAATAACTGATGCTAATCCCAAACACCATGTGAATGCCATCACATTGAGGAGTGGAAAGAACCTGCAACCAGTGTTGCAGAAGGATTTAACCTCAAGAAATTTCGTGGGTATTGAAGAGTATGGAGATGAAGAAATTTCTGCTGAAGAACCACGGGTGACGCTCGTCACCAATGATGGGTGTCGCTCGTCACCCCTTGAGCACAACCCTGACGACCCCTCTTCACAAATTGGTGACGACCGTCACCAGGAGGGTGAAGCTCGTCACCCAAATCGAGCAATCGATCCCGACTTGTCCAAAGCGAGTGATGCTCG